AAAAAAGTCTATCTTGTCAGTTTTGCAGCTCCTGAATGAATAATGAGTAATAAGACTGTGTGCTAAAAGTCACCATGAAATCTTGATTTGGGGGAACAGAATACATTACTGTGAAAATGGGGTGGGGGTAGGTAGTTTGAAAAATGGAATGTCTTGATGGCATTTTATACCCTTTCTGTTATTTACTTGTGAGGTATAAATCTCTTTAGACGTAACCTGGAATTTACTGGACTTTTGCAACCAATGCTCATTTTTGTTTGCCCCAGCTTATGCATTCAGCTGGAGAGGCAGTGAATTACTGTGGTCAAGAGACACTCCAAGATTTCCCCCTTACCCCCACAGATATCCTGTAGTGTCAAGTGGGCCCTCCATATCAGCACCAGAAGCCACAGAGGTGCAGTGCACATAATACAGGGAAAGTATTGCCCCTCCATCAGTGTAAGACAGTGTGGGGATAGAGGAATGAGCCTTATTAATTAATTAATTTATCTCTCACATTTCTCCCATGGAGGAACTCAAGGTGGCTACATGGAGATCCCTGGTGGTCTCCCCTCCAAGCTCGGGCCAGCCCCAGACCTGCTTAGCGTCAACATGGCAGATGTCTCATGTGCCTTCAGACCATGTCTAGGGTTGTGATCATCTTGTCTGGATTCTGGCTCAATGTAGTTTGCAGATTTTTCTTGTGCTCAGAAGGTGAGCTGCGCCAAGAGGAGGTCAGGGAACACTTGTGGAATGGATGCTGCACAACCAGCAACCTTCTTTTGCTTCATGTGCACAAACAAAGGCTGCAGACATGTGCATGGGAAAGGCTGTGGAGGTGGGCTTGACTCCTGACAAGAGCCATGTGGGCGGAACCCAAGGAATGGATTCCCACCTCCAAGCTGGATTCCTCTCACATCCTCACTTACAGCCAATTCAGACCATACTCCTTCTAGCACAGCAGTGTTGGGACTGCAATTCTCACCATTCCTGACCATTAGCCATGCTTTCTAGGGCTGATGGGAATTGAAGACCGCATCATCTGGAGGGCACCAGCTTTGGAAAAGCATGCTTAGGAAAACATCTCAAATGGCAAAGATGTTGGGAAAGTAACATTTTTTCAAGAAATGGTGGAGCTGGCATAAGTTTTCAAGGCCAATTCACACAACTGTGCAAAGCCTTGTTTGAGAGTGGTCATACTCTCACCAACAGACCTATGACTCTCCTGTGCTGAATTTAACAGTTTTGTGCATGCCACATGTTTCTCAATATGATGATGGGGCAACATAACTGTTCCGGTGCTTCTAAGAACCTTATGGTTGTGGGAATCACAGAACTGTCGAGTTAAGAGGGGCCCTCTGCTTGGTGCATAACTCCAAGTTAAACCATCCCTCTCTGGTGGCTGTCCTGTTGCATCTTGAGTGCCTCAGGTGTGGGAGAGCCCACCACCTCCCTAGATCATTGGTTCCACTGTCGTACTGCTCCGTCAGGAAGTTCTTCCTGATGTCCAGCCAGAAGCTGTCTTTCTGTAACTTAGGTCCCATGTCCAGCGCTCAGAAATGATTGAAAAGAGATCCTGGTCTTCTCCTTTGTGACACCCTTTCCGATACTTGAAAAGAAATACATGTCTCGCTTCAGTCTCCTCAAGGACCAGTTCTTAACATGACCAGTTCTTAACACCTCTCCTCACAGGGCTTTGTCTCCAGTCCCTGGATAATCCTTGTTGCCCTCCTCTGAACACTTCCACAACTTACAAATGTCAGTAAACAGTTCCTTGTAGATTCCTATGTCAGATATGGTGTTCTCATAATAGTTGCTACAAATATTTTAATGTGATTGCCTTCGGGCAAAACCGCTTCAATCAAAGTGGAGCATGTAACTGAGTTGTACCCAGCCAAGAGAACGGAGAAGTGCTAACATTGCTCCTTCATCCCTTCAGGCGGCAATGCTATGCTTGTTTAGCCAGAAAAAGGTTTACAGCTCCGAGCATACCCCAGGTTTCCAGTTCGATTCCTGGAATCTGCAGGTAGGGTGTAGTTACAGGCCTGTGTGAAACCTTGGACAGCTACTCTCTGTTAACGTGGGCAAGGCAAAACAAGATTAATATATGGCGATTTGATTTCAGCCACTCATTTTAATGATTGAGAATACTTTAATGTTGTCTTCAACCTTTGGCTTCAGATGGCAAACAATAAAGTTTCCAAAGAGGCTAAAACCTTCTTAGGTACAAAACTTGAGAAATCAGAATTGCAGCTGCTTTGGTTTTCCTTGAAGCTCCCTGGATGATTGTGGCAACAGAATAATGTACCAGCGAGTTTTTTTCTGCCAGAAATCAAAGCTAAATATAGAGATGCATCTCCTATGTCCAGGGTTTTATGCCTTTCAATATGGCATCAGATTGAGAGCTTGAACTAATCATAATTTTTCGTAAGGAAAAGAATTTGTCAGGGGTGTGAGCTTTCAAAACTATTGACTTTTCAGCACAGCTTCTTTCTGGCACAAAGATGTCTTTCTTTTCTTCTGTCATTCATTCCCATGAGGTGTCTAAGTAATACTTTTCACTATTGCAGTTTGATTACATTTGTGGGGATGGAGAGATGACAGTTTAAGTAGAGACACTCTGAGAAGGCGGACGGAGATCGTTTTCCGTTCTTCATCGGCAGGCTTGCTTTTCACGAGAAGGCACTCTGTGCGGGGCAAGAGATTTGTCTTCCAGAAGATCCACTGTGGTTTGGCTTCCTGCTAAATGACACACAGTGTGCAGGAGAGGGCTACATGTGTGAATGACTAATTGCAGACGGAATCTGTGCCTTGGCCAAAATGGCGCTTCCAGTGCATTTGCATCCCAATGAATGAGGTCCATAAGTGGCTACAGGGAACATCCTGTCAGAATAGGGCGATGCATTCTTTGTTGCGCTGGTATTCCACTGTCCCTGAGAGGTGCTTTACAGGTCTCCCATCTCCCAACTCTCCTTGCAACATCTGTAAGAACAATATGAAGAGCCCTGCTGCTCACTCCAAGGGTCCACCAGGTCAGGTACTGGGGGTACCAAGATAAGCACGTTCAGACTTCATACTCACCCTATGAGGCAGGGTAAGCTCAGAGTCAGGGACAGCCCAAGGGCACCCCATGAGTTCCATGCCTGGAGATGTGAACATGCGTCTCTCCAGCCCTAGCCACGTTTTCTCCACGACCACTGTGTCTCCCCAGTTTTGGCTAGCTTTTGGTGAGAAGTTGTCTTTCTGCAAGTTTGACGGACCTGCTCAAACCCTCTAAGGCTCCTTGAACCAATTCACATTGCCCTGGGAAACAGAACGGCCTGTATGACTTTTACCGTGGATGTCATTGCTGGAACAGAGTCAGGGATGGAGGCAGCTGGGCTTCTATTGCAGAGATTTCAGCTTGTGGCATCTGATGATGTGGACAAATTTCTTGGAACTAGAAGAGCCATTCCCTACTCTTTGAGCGCATCCCATAGGTCCTGGTTATAAAATTATATAGCATGTCATTCTTGTTCTGGAGTTTCAGTGTGAAGCTCCAGAACACTGTGTCATACTGGCTCATCCCACCCTTTATGAAAGATGTGCCAATTAAAAAAGAACAGTGTATGACATCTCGCTTCTGCTGCCCCTCTCTGCCAGCATTTCTGGACAAATCTTTTTTTAGTTTGGGCCAAAATGGTAGAACACGCACGGATCACTCCTGTTATCATGAAACCAGTCCCTGCCCTGAGATTGGCCTCAGCTGCCCCCATGTGACGTGCTGATGAGCGAAGTCTTTTCAGTGATGTGGCCATGGCTTTGGAATGCCCTCCCAGCTGTACTGCATTTGGTCTCCTTCCTACACCATTGTAGACCGAAGCTGAAGACCCCTTTCCTTGACGAGCTTTTAAACTGATCAGGTTATTGCTGTTCTGGTATCTGAGCTTAAAGCGTAGGAACTTAAATTATTTCTGATAACAGAGAACTAGACAAGATGGGCTTTGGTCTGATCCAACTCTTTGTCTACAGGCAGGACAGGGTCTGACTCATTCTCAGATTTTCTTGTGCAGAAAAGGCAAACCATGATGCCTGGGATCCATCTTAGCTTGCGTCAGCCATGCCCACTGGAAAGGGTCCTCATTCATTGACACAGTCCATACTCTGCATAGAGAAGGAGCCGCAGCTCAAGATGAGGCTGGGAAAAACTCCCTGTTTGAAGCTTTCTGGAGCATCGTTAGGCTATGGTACATAGTCTGCAAATAGAATGGGATATTCTGGCACTCCCTCAAGCCCTTCTCCCCAGCTCTTGCAGATTTACTGGTGTGGCTAAGCCACTGTCAGACAAGCAAGTTGTGTGGAACCTCAGGCTGAGGGCCAAATATGGCCCTTTGGGGTTCCCTGGAAGGCCACCAGCCATTGGTCCTTTGTTTGTCTCCTGGATTTTGTGCTGCCTATCCCATTCTAAATGACTGGAGCACCTCTCCCAAGACTTAGCCACTGGAAGAGCCTGAAGCTTAAAATACATGGATATTATTTGCATTTGAGGGCTTTTTGGCCTGCTCATTTTGCCTTTGGCTCCACCCACAGCAGGAATGCAGTCCTCCAAAGTCCCTACAAGCTGGATGAGGTTTTGCACCCCTGGTGGATAACTCAAGGGAAAGCTACTGGGGTATCACCAGCCCCCTGTGCCACAACGCTTTCTCTCCAATGGATGTTTTCCTCTGAGTGTTAGTTTTTGCATAGGTAATATGAACCCACTTGCCATGCAGCTTTCCCACCTCAGATGCATTTGTTAACATTTCAAGGAACATTGGTGTGTTTGGAATGACAAGGAACGCTAAGAGTGTGACAATTCAATTTCATCAACCATCCAGCTAAAACAGGGATATTAAAGTGATTCTTGTAGCATTCATATTTTTGGAAGGGGGAGTTGACTTGCCATTCCTAAAGCTATTATGAATTGTGTCTGTATGCATTAAAAACGTATTTTTATTGCGGTATATGTTAAAATGTAGGTGCCTATATTTTTTTTCTTTCAGTTTGGCAACAACAATAACTACATGAACATGGCAGAAGCAAATAATGCATTTCTTACTGCAAATGAGGTAGGTGTTTGATTTCCCAACTCCCACTTCCATTTCCTCATCCCTAGCACAATTCTGCTGTTTGCTTTGATAATTTTTACAGACTTTCAATGGATGATGGTCAAAGCGCTGAATTTTGCATGTGTTTTATGGAGCACAAAATAAAGACTTTAATGAGAGAGAAAATAACCTGACAGCTCTCCATTACCAGTCAATTTAGTTGTCCATAAGACAGTTACTTACATAGCATGTCAATAGAAACAAATCTTTTTTATATATGCAGGAGAACTACCAAGGGGGAAAAAAGTAACCAGAAGGAAACAAATGCAAGGCACAGTAGGTGTACATCTTTAAAGCAAACGGAGTAGCACTCATTAGAAGCTAATGCGCTAATTATGGTCATGGATACAAACATTTTATTTTTAATTTGGGTTCTTAACACTATTAGGAAAACAAAGGGAAAGCAGCACAGTCGGCGGCATCGTTTGTTTTCTGGGGAAAATAAGAAAAAGACTTTCAGCGGCGAGGGCTCACCAGTAGGTTTAGGAAGAAGCATTAGATTTGAATTGATGGGGCCTGACTAGGTCATGGAGGCGATGAATTTGGCCTCTAGCTTCGAAGGATGGGGTGGGAGTGAGGAAAGGGTGTGCCAGTCACCGTGTTCTTGTAGCTGGTCTTTTCCATGTGGCAGCCACTTAAAGCACATGCAGTACAACAGGCCGTTAGTTCAGGACTGAGTGCCTTCTTTTGCCCAAATCAAGCATTCTTCCCTTTGAGAGCAAAATTTGCGGTATTCAACAGATTTCTTGCTTCTGTCTGTCTGTCTGTCTGTCTTTCTTTCACCCTGTTTATGCTCACACAGAGAGAATATAGATTGCAGCGCACAGTAATTCGCATCAGAATTATACTTGGTGAGCGCTATGCAAAAAAGCATTCGGAGTCATCCGAATCGGGGCAGTCTTGACCTTTCTGTTTCAGGCCAGCAATCTCCTCCTTCACCACCAACCCAGGATGAGTGTGCTCCATTCCCTGAATGCAGAAGAAAAAATACAGGGAAGAACCATTCATTAGAAAAGACGTTGTTGCAGTAAATGTGACTATATTACATTTAGCATTTTTATGAGCCGTTTTCTAAAACAATGGCTGCCTCCCTCCCTCCCTCCCTCCCTCCTTCCTCCCCTCTCTCTTTTCTCCCTCCAACAAGACTGCCTAGATAAGGGAAGATTGCTTGGCACTGGCTCCAATGTTAGTTGTGATAATGAACACAACCCCCCATGTGTAATGACAACATGATGTTTCATTCTGTAGAATTTCATTCCTCCATTTGAATCAAACATTGATGAAAGTTCCACTGCCAGCAGCTGTTCAAAGACAATTTAATTCCAGCTGTGATAATTCACCGTGTCAGACGTTGGCTGTTATATGTTGATACAACAGCTCTCCAGATTTGCATTTTTATCAAAAGGAACAAATGTTTTGAACATTTCAGTGCAGATGGCATTTAACCACACACACAGTCTTTGTCGAGGGTTGGTGGAGTTTTTCTTTTTAACCCCCTAAAGAAATCCAAGAAACGTATGAAAAGTTAATAGCTGTTAAAATTGTGATTGGTAACATAACCCTTTAAAACTATGATATTGTTCTAGACATATCACTACCTTTCTCCACCATCAAATTACATGACATTCAGGCACTTCTAACGGTGTGAATAGCCCCATGATTTGCTATAAGACTACTTCAACGTGAGGGTTTATTCCCATTTAGATTACATTCATTTTATCCACTTATCCATACATTATTTTCAGCAGTCTTGGGATAAGATACACTTCAATATTGCGAACTCTTCCCTTTCTCTTGGAAAATCTCCTATGGGCATATATGATAGCACTTCACTGCCACCACCTTCCCATGTTTGTAAGAAAATATTATTAGCCTGATTAATATCATTGCTAGATAAGATGCTGCCATATCATCTGCTTCTGTTGCAAATGTCTGGAAACATCATGGTCACCCTCTTCAAAAAGCGGGGTAGAATGGAAGGGAAAGAACATTTTTCTTTGTAAAAACATTGGATCTCCTTCATTTATGCTTAAAGCTTCTACTATGGGAGGCTTTTGCCCTGAAATATGGTTTGCAAATAGCACAAATAAAAGAAATGTGATTGCTTTAATTACACAGAACATGTAGGACATGATTGCACTATTACCAGTTGCCCCGAAGTGTGAGTTTAACTTTGGAATTCCTGCCCTACAATTCAACCCCTTAAGTGAATATCTGTCTTTTGGGTGTGGCTATATGAAATCCAAAAGCCTCTTTTCACAGAACGCCCCATCACCGTGATTGTGGCATCCACCCGAGAAGGCCGAGAAACCACGATGGCACCTTTGTGCCGCAACTTTCTTCCATTTCATAATGGCAGTGACCCATTTTATTTTGTTTTGTTCCTTTTAATTCCTGAAGCACCTTAAATATTTATTGAAATAATATTTCAAGTGTTAATTACTGTGGTAATGAAAACAGCCAAATGCCACATATCAGGAACGAGTGTTTATCCATATTGTTAATGCGATATGTTAGATTTCATTAAGCAGTAATGGGCTAGCAAATGAGTTGCAAATTACCATTGCATCTGCTACTAGACCGCATTAGTGCCAAACCTAACTGCAAATGTAGCCATAGGGTTGTGTTCATTAGCCATCCGCTTTCCATGGCCAATCCATCCTTTCTGTGTTGGTGAACTTCAAGTCTCACCAGTATGGAGACGAACTTTGCTTCCTCCTCGTCTACTTCTTCTCTTTTCTTGAACTAAAGGCTCGGTACGTGCCTCCATAATGTTGGACAAAGCTTCCAGAAGTGGAATGAAGTTGCCCCATCTCTCCGCGTGTACACTGCACTGGGACTCCTCCAGTCTCCAAAGACGGTGCTACTCCTGCAAAGTGTTAACTGTCTGTTACCTCATCATTTCTGGTGTGAGACCAATAATGACAGCTGACAGGTTTTATGTGCGAGTAAAGGGTCCCCTCCTCCTTTTTCATGTGTTTCAGTTTCCATTTCCTCTCAAGCGGTTATTAATTTATATCATCATTAACAGTTTGAAGGATGACAATTTCCAGCACTTAATGAGATCTTTCACCGAACATATCATTTTTAAATTAACTGGCATTAAGTCATTCTTTCAGACAGTGTAAATAATGCATGCGGGAAGATTCTGTTCCCTTTCTCCTGTACCCCACTGCTTCACCTCTACAGGGAAAAAAGCTACTGGAAACAAGCACTTCCAAAAGAAACATGGCAGAACCCCAGCTAACACACCAACAGAAATCCAAACCATCCTTCCGAATCTCTGAATTTCCCCCTATTTTCCTAGTGTCAACTCTTTGCATTGCTGTATAGCAGGGCTTCCAGAAGACCGGTGCGTGGGAAACGGCTTTTGGAAAGCAAGGGTGCTTTCCATGGGATGGGCAGGGAGATCAGAAGCTGTTGCAATCAGTCTGGAGCCTCATGGTGTGGATTTTGCGGGCTCTTGGGCAGGACACACTTGAGAAGCCCCCCACCCCCCCACACACACACATGCCGGGAAGCTTTCGTCCCAGCTGTTGCTGTTCCTCCTCTTCCCCACCAGGGCTGCCACTTGTTTGGTTCTTGGTCTGTCAAGCAAAGGCAGGAAGAAAGAGCATCTTCTGAAAGAGAAGAAAGAGCATCTCTCCAGCGTCCTTGTCTGGACCAGAGTGAGAGACAGGCGAAGAAATAGGTTGCAGTGGTGAAGAGGAGGAGCAGAGACAGGGTGTCCCTGAAACACTCTGTGAACCCTGCTGTGAACTGATCAGAGAACTTCAGCTACTGGGCAGTGTAGAATCAATCAATCAGCAAGCATCACCCTGTTCTAACAGCTGATGTAGGAAGCCATGTGCTGCCTGATCTTAGGCATACGTACTTTCTAGGAGGCACCTTTGAGTTCCCATGCTTCAGAGCTGGGGAACCGCTGACTCTTCAGATGCTGTTGAACTCCAATTCCCATCAGCCCCAGCCACACTGAATCAGACCAAGAGGCCTGCCTGGTCCGGTAGTCTGTTCCAACCAGCAGCCTCTAGGAGAACCACGGGTAGGATGCAAACACAACAGGCCATTACTTGGCTCTCCGATACAAGGAAGATGCCCTTTTGTTCCGGGGGGCAGTTAGAGGGATTATCCCAGGCCGCATGTGCACAAGGGGCATTCAAAGGATCTCCCCCCAGCATGGGCCATGTGAGAGCAGCCTTGCACTTTCTGGCTCCCTTCCTTCCTGCATTCTGAGGCCCTGCCCACGCAAGTGTGGATGCTCCTGTGTCCCGTGCCTCCTTACGAGCTAGTCCCGGAATGGCGATCGGGTCAACATGGGGGAACCCTACGCCTGCTCACGTGCACCCCCTTGGCAATGGCCCAGGATGCACAAGCAATGGGGAGCAGCCAGCCAGTGGTGAAGAGGGCCCAGCTAGCCAGTGGCTCCTACTTCAGGTTCATGAGTTCAGGAAACCAAAGGAGGCCTGTCCTTTGCTTATCGCTTTTGAATGTTCAGTAAAGTGTCCTTCCATGTTGAATTCAGAAAAAGTCTCACTGCAGGTCCCAAGAAGTTGGGGTCCTTGCACCTTGTTTGGCGGGGAAGAAGAGACAGCCAAGTTTCCTCCCTCGGTAGGTGCATAAGCATCAATGGGACCTTTCAGCTAAATAAGGACAGCACTTCAGCATTGCTTGATCTTGAATAAACATTACCTTTAAATGTGCATTTGAAAAACCTGAGGAGAGTGAGAAGGAAAGGTCTCTCGCACTGAGTGGTGTGTGTCTTCCAGCACAACCCTTTCATTCACTCACAGACACTTCGCGTCAAATAAAAAATGACGAAACAAAGCACCTTGGTCTGTACACGGCTCCTCTCCATAGATACCTGGGTCCCAAACAACCACCTTGGTAGCAAAGAGTGCATTATACTCCTTCAGGGGACTAGAAGGCAACTGGAAACAGGATTCTACTATTTCATATTTATGGATTGTAAAAGAGTTTGAAGTATTCACTGTCAGATTAATGTTGTGTGTGTTCTACCAAAATTCTCCACATTTTATTGAAGCACCAGAATAATGTGTGAGCTCTTTGTGCTATTTTACTAACATATCAATAAACTGGCAATTTGTTATACAGCAAAAAAAAGTCCAAAAACTGCAACCCAATGTAGCTGATGTTCATTCCAACAACAAAGACAGATGTTACTAATTAAGTGTGCATTAAAAAACAGTTAATACTGGTACACCATTAAAGCCATATGATAATGAGACTTAAATCTTTAATCTGAAGGATCTATAAAGTTGGGCATATGTGAATCTTGCTACACTTGCGTCTTACAAAAACAGAACAAAAATATTGGCTTGTGAGCTAAATTGTACGGGTTATAAATGAGACCCTTCCGTTGTGCAGACTGCGATGTTTCGTAATGTTCCTCTGCAGTGAAGATGTTGCCATTTATTTTTCTCTTTTAGCAAACGTTCCATACGCCAAGTCTTGGAGACGAAGAGTTTGAGATCCCGCCAATTACTCCCCCCCCTGAACTGGACCCCACCAACCTGGGGATGGCAGACATACTCCTGCCTTTCCAGAGCCTCAATGATCAGCTGGCTGCACAAGGAAATGAGTTCACCCCGCAGTTTCCACCACAGAGCTTGGATCTTCCTTCCATTACGATATCGCGAAACCTTGTAGAGCAAGACAGTGTCATCCAAAGCAACGGATTACGTATGGTAGGAGTTCTTCCTTCTGTCTCTTGACTGCCAAACTGTTTCTTTTTGTGATGTAGAACCATAAGTCTGTGAACTGAGCTAAATGAGTGTGTGTGTGTGGAATGACCGTCCAGCAAACAGAAGAAAACCACCAAATGGAACGTTGCAATGCTGCTTCTATCCAATGCTATATCATTATTTGTGCCCTTAACCATAACCCCAACCCTAACCCAGCTTTGGGGATCTTCCTCCCTGCACACACCACAGCCCCCCACCCCTCCATGGGCAGGGTCTCCTGACTCTCTGTGCTGCATTGCAAGGGGGTTGAAGTTTCTGTTGCAGGATATAAGGGCCGGATGCCCATTTGCATCAGCGCAGCACAAACCTGATCCACCCCTAGGCCACTTAGTCAGTGGAAAGGAATTGAGGCCCATGTTTGGCATCAGAAGAGCACACTGATTCTGCTCACAGTCTCCATGATGATTGTCATTATTGAACTGTTGAGTGGCTACGCTGATCACTTATTCCATTGTGAGTACAACTGTCAGAGCCCTAAGATCTTCACTTCACAAAAGAAGAACCTGTTCAGAGCATTAAGGAATCTGATTATTCTATTCTATATGTTCCTTATATATAACATGCAGGCTAAACCACCCCACAGAGCCTTGAAAATTAGTCAGAATTCAGGTTGAGTTCTATCAGACCAGAATGGGATGAAGAGATCGGAGAGATGGGGGGGGGGGGGGTTGAGATGCAAGGACAGGTCTACCAGGCTTGTCATAATCCCATAGATTATGAATTTAAAACCATGAGCTTGTGGCGAAGGAAGAGCAAAATGGAAGCTGGTATCTATCAGCAGGTGAACATACCATGGCTTATAATGAGTTGTTTCTAGAAACCAAGTTTTGGTTTGCTTTGAAAGTTAAGCTGCTGAAAATGGTGCTCAGGGAAGGAACTTAGAGATACCACAAGAGCCAGGAGGTGTTCTTATTCCTTTTTGGCCAGCCAGTGGAGTTCACGTCAGTTGGTTCAACCTGACATTACAGGCTTTGCTAATCTAAATCGGCCTTTTGTGAGACCTCAGCTTCTGTGGGGCATCATGAATTGACATAATTCATGATTCACATAATTCAGATTCTCATAAACTGCCTTTTTCCCACCACAAGGTGAATATTTACCAAATGATTCACATGTGGATTCCATACTGGAAGGATTCAGATGTTTTAGCTACACAGCTTGCAGTAGGGTTCACTCACTTGGAGAAGCACAGAAATTGTGAATTTGGTTCTGTGAAGTCATTTTTATTTGCAGAGATAACACCTGCTTTATAGCTTAACAGGACAGCATTGCTGCAGCAAAGAACTGGCTAACTTTATTTATTTAACATTGGAAATTAATCGTGCACATGAATGAAATGTCTAAATGTCTCATGGCAAGCCCCAGAGCCACACCCCCAAGAAGAGTCCAGCAATGCAGCTGGGTCTGCTGATGGAGTCCAACAAACCAGTTCCGTTAGTGCTCCTCTCCACCAGGTCCAGGTCTTCTGAAAATGAATGGATCTCATTCAGGACCAGAAAATACCTCAAAATACTCACAGCAGGGATAATCATATCCATCTCTTATTCCTGGAAAATCCAGTCTCCTGCAGCTACTGCTAAGCCCAGAGGGAACAGGGTGGTCTGAGAAGGTTGTAGAGGACAACCTGCCCATAAACAGTGCTGGCCATAAACTGCTCTATTGCCTCTCCCTGGTTGTAGGGGTCTACAGTGACTGAAGCTCCCTGATCTACGTTAAGGGCAATCCCACATAACCTGTTAATGTTTTTTTCTATAGGATAGAAGAGTGTATGCTACTCTTCTGTCCCCCTGTGCCCCCAGATCACTGCAAGCAAGCAACATGAAAGAGAAGTCTGTAGCCTTCATATTCTGGGAAGGGGTTGGTGGAGGAGCAATGGGAAGTGGTGGGTGATGCAAAAGCATCCCCCCAATTCTCCATCAAGTACTGTTTCTTCTCCAAATTGTTCTATTCCAAATATCTAATTTACATGCCAAAGATGTGGTGATAAATGTCTGCCATTATTTATTGAAAATGTGCAATTTATTAAACTGATAAATATTTATTAATAATAGAATTCATCTTTACATTGTATATTTCACGAATTACCTTTCCTCAGAGCCATAAAAATATATTATAGCAATAAAGAAGCACGTAAAAGAGGCATTTTAACTATGAAATTTCATTTCATGGTCAATTGGGCTTACTGTATCTGAAAAAACTAAATAAGGGACCATAAAATAATTATGATATTCGTCTACACTCGCAGAACAATGCCTGCATGCATCAGCGTCGAGCTTGTCATATTTTATTGCATCTTTGTTGGCAAGTTGCTAATCAGTACTGAGAGACAGGTGCTACTCATTTAAAGAGGGAAGCAGTATATTATTCGGAAAGAAGCCATGACAGTAATAGAAGTGTCGTTGTTGTCTCCTTCTCCATCTCTGTCTCTGTCTCTTCCTCCTCCTCCTCCTCCTCCTCCAGCTGCCATGTAAAATCATGACCACTTTTGGAAACACAATTGTGTTAGACAGCTTCACTGCAAATGATTGCTGTTTTAATTGGATTTATAGATTGACCCTGTTGAAATGTCCAGTAGAACTTCACCTTGAAAAAATGCCATGAAATTTTCAAGCACAAACAGAGAAGAAATGAAATGTGTTGGGCAAGAGCAATGATTAATACACTGTGTCTCTGACTTTAGTCTGACTACCACCTGACATGTTCACCTATATACTTGAATGCAAAATCGCCAGAGGCACAGTAAAAATAGGTTATGTCAAGGTTCTTGTACGCTCCCCTCAGGGCACGGAGTTGGCTAGCTACATAACAGTACCTTTGCAGGCTTCTCTGAGATTTGCTGCAGGAAGGCCACCAGAATAATAAATATTGCTTTACATTCCATTACTGACTTCGGATTGCTATATCCTACAATCCATTTTAAGTGCAAGCAAACTGTTTTATCACCAGTGTGAATGTGGGCTAGCAGTTATTAAAAATGACTGTGTTGATGGATTAATATATTTTTCTACTAGTTTTAAAAAAGTATCTTGTGATCTATTAGCTTGGATTCCCTACCCAGCCTGTTATCGCTTTTGTTTGTAGCGAGAGTGACAATTTGTCATATTGCTGATTAGTTTCATTATTATTGACAAGAAACAAAAGCACATTCATCTTAGTTTAAATGCATGCTGTTACACTGGAATTCTCCCCACCACCACCATATTGAGAAGCACAGCAAAAGAAAGAGAGAGAGAGGGAGGGAGAGAGGGAGGGAGGGAGGGAGATAAAACCCACACAGTATGATTAGCATTTGCATTTTAACAATATGCAAATACCAAAAAAATCAACATTCATAAATGAATCACTAGAGGAAAGAACGAATGGTTTCTCGTGGAGTTCAGAAAAACACCTGGGACTTGGCATGATGTGGAATATATCTATATGTGTGCATACACACACACGCACACACGCCTGCACATAAATAGATGGAAATCAATTGCCATATGCCGTCAAAAGTCATTACAGACTAAATCACAGTTGACTGTTTAGATGATCACCTGAGAAATTATTTTAATCTACAAAGGATGGCAATTCTATAGAGCTGCTACTTGTGCTCCGTAGGGTTCTGTCTTTTTATTCTTTCCCCCCCTTTAAACATCTCTCTGTAATCTTCCCTTCCTGGTGAGTAGCACTGACATCAGTAGTACATCAATTTCAGAAAGTGGATTATTTTTACTAGACAGCTATTGTGACATATTGGGTCAGTCATAAATGAAAGATATTCATGCAAGCATGCAATACTTGTAATGAAGTCTCACTCTGACCTTCTGTATGATTGATTCTGTAATTTAGTTTTCTCAGGCACTGCCTGAAATGAAATGAAATCATGTTGAACAAGTTTTGAATACCCACCGTGCACCGGGAGAAGAAAAATCGGCAGCCCCAGAGGCTTGTGAAAGAGCAGTTGAACGATTTATCTCCATGCTATTATAGCCTTTGCCAGCGTTCAACATTTTCTTCTCCCTCTCTTTTTTTTTCTTATTTGGCTTAAGTACTTAATTCTGCAGGTAGCTGTAAATGGGAAAATAAAATGCTGTTCAGATTTAAAATGACAGGACAGGAGTATGTGCAAGGGACTGATAAAATATCTTGAATAGAACTGACCTTTTATGTTGCTGAAAGTTACTGGGGGATTCATCCTAATAATTACCATATAGATTATTTTTTATTTCTTTCCTGCAATGAAACATTTCAAGGAGCAGTGTTGCTGATTGAATGAAAATTGAACTTGTTAACATTCTTTTCAGCTTAGCCTGTTGTACATAACAGAAGGTTAGCTTTGATGAATTCCGAAATTCCTTTTCTGATATCTAAGAAACAGACGGTAAAATAATTGCCTCTTTTCAGCCTGCATTTATTTTCTCTCTGTCCCTATCCCCCTTCTCCTATTCTCTTTTATTTAAAAAAAAAGATTACATCCAGTTTTTACAAAAATAGAGTTAACAGTATGCACATCATCCTCACACTGTGTGTGCATAAAGTTTTCCCTACATAAAAATGAGACACTGATCACATTTTTAAAATTTAGTAGCATTTGGCTTGGGTACAAAACTTTGTTTACATGGGATTTCATTCTTTTGGAAGGAATAAATAACTGGGGTCATGTGCTGCCATAATCTAGTTCTGCCCACCCACTTCCCACTTGGACTGACTGTCTCCTATGGAATATTAAGGACTCGTGCTCCCATTATCAAGATGTATGGTTATAGTAGCTACTTTCTGACGCTCTTCCCCCATCAGGGTAACCAGACAGAGGGCTTTGATCTGTGATACCCCTGGGAATGATTTCCTAAGGAATCTCACATGGCACCGCCTTGGGTTTCGACCAGACAAATACTTGTTTAATTTTCCTAGATTTTAATTGCATTTTATGAATTGTGCCTTCTGCTCTTTTAATCTACACT